AAGGAAGGAAGGAAGGAAGGAAGGGAGGGAGGGAGGAAGGGAGGAAGGAAAAGAAAGAAAGAAAGAAAAAGAAAGAAAGGAAAAAAATGACTGAAGGATTTCTAATCAAAACATCAGAACACCATGTGTACTGAGCAGGAAAAATAAAAATGAACTAACACTTCTGTCACATTAGAGTGAAACCACAGAGCAATAAGGAAAAAGATAAAATCCCAAGTTACCCAAAACATTGATTATACACGAAGGGACTATAACTAGAGTTCTCAGAAGCAGCAACAGAAGTAAGACAATAGAATATCTTAGAAGCATTGAATGGAACACTATCAACCAAGAATTTGATTTCCAGATAAACTGTCATTTAAGGGATAGGGCAAAACAAAGACATTTCAATCATAAAAGACTAAGAGTTTAACACTCACAGACCCACATCAAAAGCACTACTGAAGACTGTCCCTCCCTCAATAAGAAAAATAAGCCCAGAGGGAAAGCACAGGATATAAGACATACTGGTGAGGGAAGAAATTAATAAAATGTGATGGTAGAATTAAAAATAACTACTCTAGTGTTAAAAAAAAAAAAAGATAACAGGAAGAAAGGAAGTACACAGTGGGAGTTAAAGCATGCTAAGGCCTTTGTCACCTTTGGGAGAGGTGTAGCAATAACAACTCTGGATACTTTGTAAGAAATTTATATTAATGAAAAGCTAATGTAGAGCTTCTAAACCTACAGAAAGAACAATGTGGCCAAGGGTTGGGGAGATTTGATCTAGAAATCTGATCATTCACTAGAAGGCAGAGAAGGAGAAAAAAAGAAGAAAAGAAAGCCATGTCGAAAACAGCACACACACAAAATGGAATAGTAGAACTAAGTCCAAGTATACCAGCAAGCACGTCACTACATAGATTTAAATCATTTATTAAAAGAAAGATTATCAGATCCATTTAAAGTAATATTCAGGTATATAATGCTAGCAAAAGACACAAAACTAAACCCCAGAAATACTGGACATAAGGGGATAAAAAAAGATAAATTATCAAAATACTAACAAAAAGCTGATGAAGCATTATTAATATCAGACAAAAATAGTCATTTACGCCACATGTATTAATAGAAATAAAGAGGGTCACTACCGAGAAGCTGAAGGTACCTAATAACATTGCTTTCAATTACGGAAAGCAAAACCATCAGAATTACAAAGAGAAATTGACAAGCCTACCATCTGAGTGGGAGATTTTAACAATCTATCAGACACAGCTAGATCAAGCAGACCCCCCCCCCAAAAAAAAAGGGCCGAGAGATTAAATCATGAAGGGTCTGTAAGGAGGCTACATTAAGGAATTGGGTTTTATTCTAAGAGCAATAGGAAGCCATTGAAGGGTTTTCAAGCAGAGGAATGGTTAGATCCGATGGATGTGCATTTTTAGAAGGATCACTCTGGCTGTAAAATGGATATAAAATGGAGAATGGACTTCAGGGTGGTCAGACTACATAAAGGTAGGGACACCAGTTAAAAAAAAATAAAACCAAACAACTCTTTCTACCATCTAGCCAAGAGATATTAATGACCTGAACTCCGGTAGAGTTATTGGTGAAGAAAAAGAGCAGGCATTTGCAGAGGCGTCCACATAGCAGAGTCGATTGGCAGGGGAGGGGATCAAAGACAGTATCTTCATGCCCACCCTAGAAAGCCTGATGCACGGTACAGAGGACAAAGGGCAGGGCTTGGGGAGCGAGAAGATACTGTTTCCTTGTTTCTGATTCTACCGCTTAACTCTCAGCCCCTCAATTCTGACACTCAAACTGGTTCATTAAAATGTTAAATTACATGCAATACACAGGAGTATGTAAATCAATTTTAAAAGATGACTATCAAAAAGTTCAACAAAATGAACACTCAAAAATTCTATTTTAAACTTTTGGTGCTTAGGGGATGTTTCAAAAATCTGGGGGGAAATTACACTTTAATAATACCTGAAAATGTGTGTATATCTTAAATAATCATTTCCCACATCATAATAGTCCTTTAAGATGATTTGTACTTTTATTGCATATTTTCATGCTTTTCTCTCTATATAATGGCTCTCGAACACACCTATTTCCTAGCTACTGAAGTAATAGTCACAACTGTCCTTAGGGCACAGCTGGTATGAAGAACAGGTAAATCCAACCCGTTGACCTGTGAAATCTCAGAGAGTCACAGATTTCGTGACACGTAACTCCTTTTCTCTTCCTGGTTGTTATTAGTGACTTTAAACTAATATTTGAGTTCATGACATGTGTTCATCCTTCAGAGAACACTGATTTTTGCATTGACTAAAGTTGGGAGCAGTGTACATATTGTACGACCGAACTGAGGTTACTTATAAATGCCGAAAATTAAGGAGCTATATTTTCCCAAAGGTACTTCAGTAGCTTCAAGCACGAAAAAGGTTTAAAGGACTTAGAGAGTTCTGATTATGAATTTTAAGCTTTCATATTTATTTTACAGCCATCCCAAATGCAAACGAGGTTTAGTTTTGGAGTCCCAGACACGCTGTGCAATTTCAGCCTAACATTCTAATGCATCGAGTAACGTTTGAGCCTGTCATCCACAACAGGACTGTCCCAACAGTGGAGACACCTTTCGGAACCTGACCGGGAGTAAGCAGACTCGAAGATTCCCGGTAGTAATAGAGCAACAGTGTGATGGGTGCCTCTAACATGGCCTGTTAAATGATGGCCAGGATGTGTTTTAAAAAGACAAACCCCCTCTCTTGCATCTCAAAGTTAACACTTATTTGAGGGCTTATATTACATTAGATTTCATACATGGATTCTGCTGTTAATTACAAGCCATTATGGTATAATTTTACTTCAGACTATTTTGCTTCTTCAACTGCAGCCCTTTGCATTTGGGGCAGTACAAGCAAAATAGCGACTGGGCGCTTCTCCTTCAGGGCCCATTGCTGTAGCACTCGTCCTAAAGCATGATTTGGTCGCCGCCATGCTATGTAAATATCTCTCCCTTAATGAAGAAATGCTGGAATCACAGAGGTCCTGCTATCAGGATGTCGTGTGGGGCTTCTTCCTATTAACGTAAGATGAAAGAGCTGATGCACTTTGCCCTTCTGATATTTTTCAAAATTATAACTTGTTGGTTTTAAATGGCATGGAAAAAAATTAGGCCACAGCAATGAAATTATAGTTCTTCATATTTCCAGTTGAACCAGATATGTATTAAAGCCAAGGGGTTTTTTGTTTTTGTGTTGGTGGTAATTTTTTTTTTTAAATCTTGTATTTCCTGGAAATATATATGCATGGAAGGAAGAAGGGAGGGCAGGAGGGAATTGAGACACGATCAGACGTGAATAATGCTCAAGATTTACACACAATACACGGAAAGATTCATCAAGATTTAAATCAGCACCCAACAGGAAAAAAAATTGTATCATTTTCACAGTAACAATGCTAATCATTATAATAATGTAATAACAAGGAACTTGGAATGGTCCTTAGTGCTTTCTCTCATTTTTCAGCAAAATATCCACAGTGTCCTCAAAAGACGTTGTCTATCTTATTTTTATGAATTTCGGAAATATAAAGATGGCTTACATGTCTGTCTTGCTCTTTCACACAAAGTTGTTCTCTGCATCCAAACTAAACTTCTTCCCTGCCTTAACTTCTCTACCAGTGATTCCTGTTGGCAATGATGAAAATGATGGTCACAGCATCTCCGGGGCATCAGACTGACTTAGGCTAATGTAACAAGAGAGGCAGAAATTCCTTATACAGATAAAAGCAGAACTGGGGAGTAACCACTAACCCCAAGGTAAACAGTCAAACTAAGCACTGCATAAATATAGAAAGAAGGAACACTAGGGAGCAATCTGAATAAAACCTGGAGGGAAGATGGACCAAGAGGCACAAAGCTGCAAGTCGATTATGGGTAAGGGACAAAGAGGTCCCAGGTCCATAAGAGATGCAGTTGAAGAAGCAAAATAGTTGACAAGACTTTGGCCCAGCAAAGGCAGCAAACAATGTTTGCTTCTAATGAAATAGCCAAATAGTCTGGGAGCATTTAAATCCCAAGGCTTTGTAGAAGCATTACTTTATTCCCTCATTCAGCTAATTTATCATTATCATCATCATCATGCCATTATTATTGGTGCCTTACCTTTCGCCATTAACCAGGCAGATTGACCCTCATCTGACTGACCAGATCTAGAGGTTCTCAGTTTCAGCCATATATCATAATTACCCATGGAATGTTTTCTTCCCCGAGCCACTAAATTAGAATCTCCTAGGGTGGGACATGATCATGTAATGAACCCTAAGTTGCTTCGCTGGGAACAAAAGGCTGCCCCAGAGTCAGCATCACCCACCTTAGGCCGAGCCTTTCTGAAGCTCCCCGAGGAGGAGCGAGGGTTCAGGCTGGAGTGAAAACGCACCCACCTACAGGCAGAGACTCTGCTTCCGGGGAGGCAAGGTTCAAGCGTGATGCCTTTGCTCACTGCTCCGCTGACAGCAACGAGCTTTACGGGAACTGGGCGTTTGGCAAAGGCGTACAGGTAATGAGTCAACAGCGCTCAGGCGAGTGTGGGAGGTGGTAGATTTATCCACGAGGTTGTCCATAAATGGTTTTAATTCACGAACTGCCAAAAGATGGAACTATGGCTTATCTTCCATAACTTAAAGAGATGATTTCGTGAACTTCTGGCAATTGGGATATACTTCCAACAGTTGGAGGGAGGGGAGGGACCAGGACTGTGAGGCAGTGCGCAGACTCCGGGGCCGCGCTGCCCGGGGTTACAGATGGGCTCTGGCGTCGACTCGTTGTGTGAGAGCACCGGTGTCTTGTTTATTTCAGCTCTCTAGGCCTCGATTTCTCATCTGAAGCATGACGAGTAATTGCTCCTACTTCATAGTGTTGTCACACAGACTTGATGAGTCAGTACGTGTTTACCTCGAGAACACAGTCTGGCACAGAGTGTTAGGTGGTCAAGGTCAACCTACGTTACTAAGAGAGATGCTTTGCCCCTCTGGGACATCAGGACCTGGCACTGGGACCACATACACATGCTGCGTGTTGTCTTGGTAACTTCTTTGGTGAACACGATGTGCTGTGACCCAGTCAGAGCTGCGGCTCTGTCCGGTTCAGGCATAGGGACGTAGAACGACCCTGGAGAAACCTTGAGTCCCGTTGTTTTTTTGAACAATTGTAATCAGAGAAATAATGAAACATAATTATCCTTAGAAGCTGTTATTACTGCTTTGGAAAACGTCAGAGTCCAACAGCACGATTTGTCAAATAAACTCCAACTCAACCTAACTCTCCCCCAGCAGAGATCGTGGCCCCTCGCCCCAAGAGCCGGCAGTCCCCCACCTGTGCCTTTAATATTATATGACGCTTGACCCTTTAGTGAATTCCTTTCGGTTCCCCAAAAGCGCCTTGTTCTTTTTTGTCCCTGGGCCTTAGCTGAGGCTGTTTTCCTGCCCGGAATGCCTTTACCACAGCACACTCATGTGTTGTGACACAATTACAATTGCTTATTTGTCAGTCATCCTCGGGAGGCTGGAAGCTCGGCGAGGGAACCAGTATTGGGCCTGTCCGGCTCACTATTATGTCCTCGGTACCAGGAACAGTGAATAACACACAGCAGGCACTCCAAAAATACCCCAAGAGTGAACAGATAGGTAGATCTAGCTACCGATGGATCAGGACTCCGCCATATGCCGCTGGGTCACTTGGAGCAGGCTCCTTGACTTTTCTGATCCTCAGCAGAGCTCAAGTTACTTTCACGTAGTTTCTTGCCATGATGAAAGGCGAGAGCGTGAGAAAAGCAGCTGGCACAGCGCCCAGAACAAAGCCAACAGTTAATGCACATTTAAAAAAGCAGCAAGGCCAACTGCACGCAAGCCTTTCCTTTGCCTAATTTCGTCTCTTTCCTTATTTAATAAAAATCAATGTTACAACCATAATTGTCGCTCTTAAAACCCCAGAAAGCAGGAGAGACAGGATGAAAGGTCAGAGGTTACCGCTCTGCAATTCTCTCAGGTAGACATTTATTAATACTGCTTCATTAATATTCATTAGATGACTTGTAGAGACCAGGTAGAGCATAAAGGGAAAATGGCCAATTGAGAGCTCAGCCTACTTTCATGCCAGCTCCTCCACACAGAAATTAATCCGACACAAAATCAACATTTGCAGAACTGAAGTTAAAAGCATAATTTAAACCCCAGCTAAACGCGTTCCTCTACTTGCCCCTTCGAGAACCTGGGCTGAGGGACAAAAAATCATCAGTCACACATCAGATGCCACTTGAAAAATCTGTGTCTATTTTGCTTTTTTTTAATTAAAAAAATGTATTGTTATTTATTTTTATTCAATTTTTCCACCCTGATTGAGATATAATTGATATACATCACTGTTTAAGTGTAAGGCATACAGCATAATGGTTTGACTTACGTACATTGTGAGTCTGTTTTGCTTTTGATGATAACATCTAACATTTATTGAGGGCTTACTACATGCCAGTTTGTACACACTGTCCCTTGTACTTGTCAGAACATAATTATTCCCGTTTTAGAAATAAGGAAACTCAGTGCTGCCATTGAAATCGTAGAGGTTTAGAAATGGGCCCAAGATCAATCAGTTAACAGGAACCAGCAAGTCTGACCCCACAGCTGGGACCCATGACCATGGCACTGAACTGCCTCCTAAGATGCCAGCCTTCTCTCCCGCTGGCCAGGCAGGTCTGGCCCCCACCCTGACGTCATCTCGTTCTGAAGGCTGGTTCTCTGAGGCTGAGCTCATTTGGTCTCTGAGCGAAGCAGCATCTCTTATTAGTCTGAGGAAGCTGGGCGACACTTACTGCTGGTTCACATGATGTCTGAACTGTAGGAGCCTGCCCCCCCCAAACCCCCAAAGTGAAGAGAATGCTGTGATTTCTTGGCAGGATTACACCAGGGTAACTCACCTGTCTGCTCACGTAGGCATGCAGGCCCCAGCGAGCTCCCCAACGGAGGGACACAGACACTCAGGCGGATGCAAGAGACTATTAATTGACAGCGTGAGCTTTTTGGGAGAAAGAGAGCCAGGAATAAGGTAGGTTATTAGGAACACGTATTCACTGTGCCAGGGCTAAGAGACATGGATTATGCTTGGTGGCAAGCTGCCACATCCATCCCGTTGTGCTCGGTGTCTTTCTCACTTCGAGGCCCAGTCCTTCCCGCCCTCCCTCCCCACAATGAAAGGTGCTCTGGGCTTCGTACTGCAGATGAAGGATACTCTATGCTGCAGAAAATCCTAATAGTCTTATTAAGAGTTCTCAAAATATCATAAAAACACATTTCCTCATATCTCATCCAAAATATGCTTAAAGGATACTTCTATCTGTAATGACAAAACCGTAATGTATAAAGCTGAAATACATTTTAATGCTATTTTCAAAAACAAGAATAATGAGGCCAATTCTCCGTGTCAACCATTCTGACTCACCCCTCCCCTCGCCCCATCCCGGCCCTCACTGATAGGAAGATGAAGGAGAGCCATTGAATGTTTTTTAGAATACTCTCTAAACCGCATTTTGTACTGATTCTGCATGTGGAATGTTTATCTGCTAAGAATAACCTTGTTTCATTCCAATCATATGTTGCCTTGGTTCTATTTTCTAGAATGAGGAAGAGAAAACTGAATAAAATATCACTGTTTCCCATTTTCATTTTTCTGCATAAGGTTAGCAGTGACTTGAGAATCTGCTTTTCAAAGCAGTTGCATCTGTGGCAACTGGCTGGAGTCTGAGCCTGTCGGTCCCCAGCTGGCCTCAAGGTGCTCACAGAAGCAGTGAGCTGTGGTCAAGACCTTTTCCTGATTCCGCTGTTATTCCAGAGAGAAAACCCACACAGGAAAGGATCACAGCAAAGGCACCGGCGACAGATTTTTTTGAAGAAAGAGGATAGTGGGTGTGGGAATCGAAATACAGAGATGGAGAATTTTAATTGCAGATTTTTTTTTTCTCAAGAATTTCAGAGGCAAAGTGGGCTAGAAGATGGGTCGATATTGCTGTAGCTAAATCTAAGAGATACTAGAAGAAGGCCCCTCACCCTCTCCTACACTTGCTACCTCCTTCCTCCAACATCCTGCTATTTCTGTCCAAGAGTTTGCTTTTATTTTGAAGTAATATTTTCTAAAGTCAGGTGTATAAATGCAATTAGGAAACACCGCTTCTCTAGGTTCACCATGAAGCTACCCTCACATGAAAACAAAAGAAAACCTGGTTGTTTTTTGTTTTTTGTTTCCCCTGCAGGTATATTAAAATTAGTTGCTGAATTTACTATTTTTTAAATTGTTTAATGGCGGTGTTTTTCAGCATCTTCATAAAAACAAACTTCATTTAGCCAGGATACAGCTTCTAATTGAAGTAAATCCTAACTTGCCTAAAATGATTAAATAAGCGAGTTCGTGATTTGACTTCCCTATTTGAGATTCTTCTCTGTCCGCAGAGTGTATATAAATCTTTATGCAATGACCTGTTAACTACCTGCTGCTGGGAACAAGCTTCGGGCTTCGTTTCAGTTATAAAATAAGGTCACTCTGCTTTTGGTAAAAACTGACATAACTGCTTTGGTAATTAAAATCTACAGGGTCTTAAAGAGATGTTATATTTAAACCTCTAAAAAATAATGTGAAAGCTATAAAATTACAAAAGGAGGACGGATAAGGACGCCCTGCCACTGCTCATCAAATTATAGGTTCGCAATAGGATATTATTTATGTCACTCTTTAAAAAAGAATTTGGACACGTTTTTTGAAAACTTTAAACCCAGTCCTTGAATCGCTTCTTGTCCGGCAGGCCTGCTCCACTACCAAAGGGCGCCTAGAGAGAGGGTCCCATCTTGGAGGCATCATTTAAACGTCTTCAGCTTCATATGAAACGTCTGACTAAATAAATTCACTGACGCTGCTGGTCAGGAGCCGAGACGCAAAGGGCATCAGCCTGGCCCTTCCTGTGGGGTTTTCATCCGTAGCCAGATCTACGCCTTGCAAGCTCCAACGCCCCAAACCCACCTTGTTTCTGCTGTAATTCAGAGCAAGTTACGTCGGGCTCAGCTGTGAGAATACCGTCTCTGGAGGCAGTCCCTAGAAATGAGATAGAACAAATGCTTTGCTCCTCATGAGGTTCCAGTGGTCCCATAGGCTCGGATTTTTTTTTTTTTTAAGTTATTTACTCTTCGTCAAAAAACTTTTAGGCTCAATCTTTGAGATTTTTATAATGAAGGTACCCCTCGGACAAGATACTTAGCCTCGCTAAGCCTCATTTTAATCACTTATAAAACCAGTATAATCATAATCTATTTTATAAATCACAAGATTTTATAAGTATTAAAAACAACGGTGCCCACAGAGAGCGCTGGGCATAGTGCGGGTACCCGGTAAGCGCTTGCAAAATATGAACTGTAAGGAAAGTAGGGCAAATAGTTTTAGTTCTATTTTACAAATGGGGAAACTGAGGCTCAGAGAGTTTAAGTAATGATGTGTTTAAGTTAGGAAACAGTGAGGCCAGGATCCCGAGAGTGTTCTAGTGACGCAGTGCAGTCGCTCCTGAGCGCCATGGAGCGCCATGGGCTAGACTTGGCTTCCTGTCATCGGCTGTTCTACGAATCCCCAAATGACAGATTAGCCCAGTCACAAACGGGAAGAAGGTCTGCAGCAGGCACGCGCTGCAGCAATGCCTGCCTGGCTCTGCCCTACGCCCTCGCCCCACCTCCGCCCCTGCCCCCAGAGAACAGCCTTGCTCCCCAGGCTAGCACAGACCAGGCCGAGTAGAATTTCCTCGACCCTGCCCTGCACTGCTCCCAGTGAGTCAGTGTGAGGGCCCCTGGAAAGTGCTGAGTTGACTTCAGTTGGAAGCTATGTCCTGGCCGTCCCTGTCCCTCCCCTCTGCCTGGCCCCCTTCCCCATTCCTTTCTTTCTCACAGAGCTCCCCTCCTCTCCCTCTCTCTCTCCCTCCTGTTTGTCCTCCTCCTCCTCCCCCTTTCTCTCCCTCCGCACCTTCTCCTTCCTCATCCCTCCCTCTCCTTCTTCCGCCTCCTCCTCCATCACCCCGGCCCAGATAATCACCACCCCGCTCCCTCTAGAAAGTCCAAACACCTTGAGAGCAGATAGACATGGGTTTGAATCCTGTCCTTCACACTAACTGTGTGACTTTGGGCAAGTGAATTCATCTTTTTGTGTCTAAATCTCCTCCTTTCTAGAATGGGACAGATGATAATAGGTACCGGTAATAATGGAATTGATAATAATGATGATAGGTATGTCGCGAATGGCAATATACATAATTTCCTCCTTGCCTACGCCTCAACATCTGCCTCCTCATGTCCATCATTCAGTCTCAGGATGGTAATTTGTTGCCCCACGTCATTCCGCCCACAGGGAGACAGCGCTGTGGTCTCCAGCCACTGCATTCTATCCGGTTCACGTGGTTCTAATATTTCTCACAATAAAGAAGCCAGCCTTCTGGTATAGGCCTCAGTCCCTTATGGGTTTGGTTAGGGTACTTCAGCTGGCTTGGAGAGCAAAATTCTGGGATATTGACAAGTTAAGGACAGAACTTGCAATCTGGCAACTCAGTGGAGTAAGGCCACCTACGAGGTCTCTGGGGAGACAGCCTCCTCTCCTCCCCTGGCACCACACTGGCTTCAACCTACGCTCGTTTTGAATATCAGCTTGATTTACTGGCTGTGTGGGCTTGAGAAAGTCATTTAATCTTGTTGAGCCAGTTAGCACCTCGGTAAACCCATTCACCTTACTGCGTCATGGTCAAGAGCACTGGAGATAACTTCCGTATGGGAAAATACTCTCTAGACCACAATGCACTATACAGAACTATTATTTTTTAAAACTTTACATTAAAATCTAGGGAGTTTATCATTCTGCTTCATCTGTCAATGGTGAGAACAAACCAAAATTGGAAGGGGCTTTGAAAATTCAGAAAATCACATTTGGAATAGTGCTTGAGAAACACTATTTTGAAGTATGTACACACACACACACACACACACACACTTACGTATTTTATATTATGTATATATTAAGTATATTATTACATGCCTATGTTTATTACACTGAGTCACTGTCATAACCCAGATGGTAGAATTTTTTAAGCAACAAAACACTGTTTTATGATAGCATTATGTGTAGCTTCTCATGTGATCTAAACATAGCTTTTACCTTGAACTTTATTGGTCTTATATTTATTTACCCTGCCCTATTCATTAGAAATTATTTTGGGAGGTATAAATGGCAACTATAGGAGCCCCAAGTGACCCATCTAGATTATATAGCAGAATAGCTAAAGGCACTGAATACCAATGCTTTGGGTATGAAATTTGATCATTCTTGTTGGCCACTGAACCTACCAGTTATAAATTACCTTTTATTTCCTTCTAGAAAAACAAATTAAGTGATGAGCAGTTCACAGTCCACATGCAAAACAGCTATCTGAGAAGTAAAATTCAGCTGGACAAATTCTCCTTTTTTTCCCCTGGGTCGGGGTGGGGGCAAGGATGAAGACTGTGTTTGTTTTAAAGGGGCTGAAATACCCAACTCAGCAGTAGGTCCTGTGACTTCAGCCGCCTGGTTCAACCACGTGGGATCCAACACAGTGGGCCATCGGAGGAGTCTGTCGCCCACCATTCCACCTCCGCCATTCTCACCGGGCGAACGGCAGCTGCTTTGCCTCAGACTTAGCCTGCATGCTTATTTAGATAACTTTCTGGTTTTCTCCTCATGCCCGTCTTGGCTGGAGGCAATGTCCCTTCGTAGCCACTTTCAGTCTCTAAAGAGCTTTGCTTCTTCCTTTTATTAGGGACCTCTGTTTACATTCCGACCTAAGTTCACCCTCTCAGCTTCTTTTAGGTTTTGCTCCCACTTTGTTTCTGCTTCATAATTTTCCTAATCTGCTTTTTAGACTTTTTTACACCTTCTTTCTCTGATCTCCCATCTTATTTCTACTCCATTCAGGGTAGATGAGGTTTACATGTCCTAGGCTGGTCGAGAACTGCGTTTCCCATTGTATACAGCATGTAAACTGCGATTTGAGCATAAGAGCCACTGGAGATGATTTCCGATGGTGCCCAGAGGCTGACATTAAATGGCACTGAATCACATAATGAGAGAGCTATTCCCTTTCTAGTTCTCTCTCAGTCCTGCTGATTATTTCAAGGAAAAAGTTTCCATTGGTCCTCCTATGTCTACCACTTGCTAATCTCCCTTTTTGCAAGAGAGAGCAGGCCTCAGGCTGAGAGCCTTTGGAATGTAATATTATCAAGCTAGAGTTTTATAACCTCGTTTTGGCTTTTACTACATAAAGATTTGTTTTTATTTTTACCTCCTATTTATGTGATACGGGTTTCTTTTTAGAGTTGTGATATAAAGTTTTCTTCTCTAAAAGGATATATATGCGTTTAAAGTGCACATCAGTTTAAAGAAACACATTAAGTGACACAGGTAAAAAGAAGTGGCCGAAGTATTGAGGGCGGTGGCATGGGAATGACTCAAGTTAGGGAAATACTAGCTTCATCCATCAACCACTGTTATTCTCTTATTACTTTACAGTATTATATGTGAGTTTTCAAAGTATATTTGTTAATAACATCTATACCTAGGCACAAGTCATTCTACTTCCATTTCTCTCATTGAAATTTTACACAGATTATTTCATGGTCTCCTTTTATTTCTTTCAGTCATAGGGTTTTGACAATCCACTCCTCAGACACTGAAAATCACTGAAGTCCCAGCAGACAGTCTGGGGCAAGCATTGTGTACAGTAGTCTGGTTAAACTAATCTATTCCAAGTGTCAAACTACACCTCTTTTATTTACCCCTCTGCCATAAAGAAGCATTTAGGTCATGGGACTTCGAGATTTTGACATTTATTAATTGGCCATTCTTCAAGGTGATCTCGTTAATCCCAAGCCATGAAGTCTTTGTAAACTTTTTCCTGAAGGGACGAGGGCCCGGCAGCTCTTCTTTGGATGCTTTCCCTGGAGATCACTCCGTCCCATTCAGAGAAAGAGGAAATTTGGTTTTAGGGATCGCATTCTCCTTAACCTCTCTTTTCACCCAGCGGTATTTCCCAAGATTTCCAAGTTTATTCTTGGGGATCCAGTCGCAACATCCTCAAGAGCAGAAGCCTTTGGCACCTTCCCCAGCCTGTCTTCCAGGCTTCAGTCTGCGCATGCGTGCGTGTAGGAGCGGGAGGGGAGGATCCCAGATCTCCGCTCCAGCTGCTGCCCACAGTGTGGCTCAGGCTCTTGAATAAACTGGCGCAGGTTCTCGCCCGTGTGGCTCCGATTCGGTCCTGCCTCTTGTTTCAGCCATATGGCCACTGCCATCTACGTCCACCTTCCTGCAGGGAATCTCAAGCCCTGTACCCGCAGTTCCAAAGCAGGTAGGGGTAAAACCTTTACGCTAAGGTCACATGACCCTAATCTTCCCTTGCAGAAGGAGGGGTCAGGAGTGGTAAGCGCTGTGATCCACGGTCCTGCGCCACTGGGACACCAAACCCCCGCTCGTTCCTTCCGGCTCCACTCTGCACGCCTCGTGACCGCCGTCGTGAGGGACGCGCCAGTTCAGGCCTTGGGCCGCTTTGCCACTGTCACCGCAGAGCCAGCTCAAAACGGTCCCATCCTGCTTAATGAGATGCTAAGTTGCTTTTCAGAGATGACGGACCAAAACTGCAAGTCGTGCAGCCAAAGCGTGAGCAGAGGCGAGAACCTTGACCTCCATCTGGAATCGAAGCCCCCCCTCCCCACACACACACACACACACACACACACACACACACACACAACCGAAGGACTGGGACATAACTTGAACACCAAACTCTTTCAGAAGCAGAGGGTCCGCTGTCCAGAAAGATCCTGTACTGATGCCCCTTACCATAAATGGCCAAGCTCCAAGGTCACTGATTAAAACTTGTTCCCCACCCCCTTCCCCAACTCACACACTGCCAGAGGCTCTTTTGGCAGTGGGCAGCTAGCCTGGCTCCAGGCTGCAGTCTTTCTTAAAAACTCTCAAATGTCTGCAGGCCCCAGGTGAGCAGCAGCTGGCCTCAGTGTGTCCTGCGCCTTTTGCTG